AGATTTTATTTATTTGAGAGAGAGAACGAGAGAGTGCTAGCAGAAAGGGCAGAGGGGTAGGGAGAGAGAATTTATAGCTGACTCAGCACTGAGCATGGAGCCCTACATGGGGCTTTATCCCAGGACTGCAGATCGTGACCTGAGCTAAAATCAAGAGTCAGACACTTAACCAACTAAGCCACCCAGGTGCCCCAAGAGCTAGTATCTCTCATATATAAAGGGCTCTTACAAGTAAGTAAGAGAAAAATCATTAAAAATTTCATAAGGGACATGAATATGTTCCTTTTAAACTCTAAAATATTCTATTTTTTGAGCTTACAATTATAATTCTAGAAAATTATTCCAAAACACTCATTCTCAAAGTGTAGGACCTAGACCAGCAGTGTTACTATCACCTGGGAATTTACCAGAATTATAGTTTCTGAGCCCTACTCCAGAACTACTGTATTGAGCCATCTGGACTTAAAGAGGCTTTTTAGTGGAAGGTTATAAATTATGGATTAACTTACTCACTAGACATAGGGCTATTAGGATTTTTCTCTTTGTTCTGGTGTGAGTTTTGGTAAGTTGCATTTTTCTAGGAAATTGTCAATTTCATTCAAGTTTTCTAATTTAGTTGTTGTTCATAACATGCTCTTATCTTTTTAATGCCTGTAGGATCTGCAGTGGTATTACCTTTTTTGTTTTTGGTATTTGTAATTTGTGCCTTCTCTTTTTTTTTCTTGGTCAGTCTTGTTTAATCTGTTTGGGGATCAGTCAGATTCTTGAATTTGTAGGTTTATGTCTTATGCCAAGTTTGCAATATTTTACACAGTTACGTCTTTTTTATTTTTATTTTTTTTAAGATTTTATTTACTTGAGAGAGAGAGAGCATAAGCAGGGGGAGCAGCAGAGGGAGAGGGAGCAGCAGGCTCCCCACTGAGCAAGGAGCCCAACGCAGGGCTCCATCCCTGAACCCTGGGATCATGATCCCAGCTGAAGGCAGATGCTTAATTGACTGAGCCACCCAGGTGTCCCCATTTACTTCTATTTTAGCACCACACTTTTTCTCCTCTCCTTCTGAGACTCCAATGATATGAATGTTAGAGTTTTTGTTATCGCCCCATATTTCTGTTAACTTCTTTTCAGTCTATTTTCTCTCTGTTGTTCAGAGAAGAGTAATTTCTATTGTTCTGTCCTCAAATTCACAGATTCTTTCCTCTATCATATTTATCCTGCTGCTGAGTTTTAAAATTTCAGTTACTGTATGTTGTCAATGAAAACATTTCTATTTGGTTCTTTTTTACATCTTCTATTTTACTGAGGTTTTCTAACTTTTTACTAGATTCAACAATGTTCACAATCACTCATTGAAGCCTTTTTATGAATGCTGCTTTACAGTCCTTGTCAAATAATTCCAACATCTCTGTTATCACGGAGTTGGTGTCTGTTGTCTTTTCCCACTCAAGTTGAGAGTTACCTAGTTCTTGATATGACAAGTGACTTTTAGTCTTGTCCTAGGAAGTTTGGGTATCACATTGTGAGGCTCTGGATCCCATGGAATCTTCTTTTTTTATAGGCAGTTACCCTGCTTAGGTGTAGTATGCAGCTCCAAGAGGGGGTGGATGGCCATCCCCCTGCTGAACCTTACCTACATGGAGGGGGAGTTTGCCATGGGAGGAGAAGGAGGCAAGTGGAATGTTGCTGTGGCTTCATCGCTAGAAGTTCAGTCTCAATTGAATTCTGCTGACAGTAGCTGATGCTCTCTGGGTGAGGAAAGTGGAGAGTCAACTAGCACCCCCTCACACTGCCTCATTCTGTCGCTGCTGCTAGATGGGTGTGGAAATTCAGTTCCCTGTCTGGTTCTACTAATGGGACCCCTGTGGGGTCCCCTGCCTTGCTGGTGCCACATGGGTCCAGAAGTCTTGCTCACCACCTGGCCCTGCTGACACCATGAAGGGAGGATGGTTTTTCTTTTTGTGTTTGGCTACAGTAAGGTGGATATTATCAAAATGATTTTCTATTCAGTGCGCCACTCTTTTCCTGGTCCTTTGACTACAGGGTACGGGTTTCTTGGGGCTTTTTTGTCTGTACCTATTTTTGATACCATGTTGCACACCCCTCAGACACCCCTTCCTGGCTATATGACAGGTAAGAAGAAAACCCAGAGAATCACAGCTACATCATTCCTCAAGTCCCAAAGGCCCTAGCCAGTCTGTTCTCTTCTTTTTATCTTTGAGTATTCCTTTGTTTGTTGTGCTCCATCCAAGGTTTTCAATTATAAGAGGGAGAAAGAGCAAGGAATGGGGCCAATCCATCTTATCTGGAACCAGAAATACCATCAGTTTTAATATATTTTCATTATTGTTCAGTTTAAAGTATCTTCTAATTTTCACTGGGATTTATTCTTTACCCCACAGGATATACAGAAGTGCTTTGCTTCAGATGAAAGGTGATGACATATGGAATTTACTTCAGAAAATACGTAAGGAGAAAGTGGGTGAGGGCATAGATGAAATATAAATTGGTCAAGAGTGCATCATTTTAAAAGCTGGATGATCAATTCATGAGAGTTCATTATACTTTTCTGTCTACTTTTGTATATGTTTAAATTTTTCTGGAAAAAAAAGGATACTGATTAATTTCCAAACACTTAGGAATTTTCTACTTACTCTTTTGTTACTGATTTCTAATTCAGTTCTCTGTAATTAGAGGATATCTCTATATTACTTCAATCTACTGAAATGTACTAGGACTTGCTCCATGCCCTTGCATATGTCTTCCATTTTAGTTAATGTTCCTGTATTAAGAAAACAAAAATGTGTATTCTGCTGTGATTGGCCACATGTTCTATATATGTTAGTTTGGTTAAGTTTGTTAATTGTGTTGCTCAAATCTGTTATACCCTTATAACTTTTGTCTGCTTTTTCCATTAGTTATTGAAGAGCTTGTACTAATAATCTCCCACAATAATGATAGATTTGTGTATTTCCCTATTTAGTTTTGTCAGTTTTTGCTTAATGTATTGTGAGGTTATGTTATTAGGTGCATACAAATTTTAGATTATCTTCCTGTTGAATTGACCCATTTATCTCTATCTATCTCTAGTAATAGTATCTCTAGGGATACTCTTTGTGTTTACTTTGTCTGATATTAGTAGTTATACCAGATTTTTTCAGTAGGTGTTCACATGGCAGATCTTTTTCTAGCCTTATCTACTCTTCTTTGTCCTAATATTTAAATATATGTCTTGTAAGGTGCTTATACTTGGGCTTTTCTTTCTTTTCTTTTCTTTTCTTTTCTTTTCTTTCTTTCTTTCTTTCTTTCTTTCTTTCTTTCTTTCTTTCTTTCTTTCTTTCTCTTTCTTTCTTTCTTTCTTTCTTTTTTAAAAACAAGCTTTCTTTCTTTCTTTCTTTCTTTCTTTCTTTCTTTCTTTCTTTCTTTCTTTTTTAAAAACAAGCTTGACAATCTTTGGAGTATTTTAGTTCGTTTAACTTAATATAGCTACTGATATATTTGGCTTAAATCTATCATTTTACTCTCATTTTCTATTTTTCTATCATCTTTTGACTTCAAGTTCTCTATTTTTTACTTCTGACTTACTTTATCAACTACATTTTAATGATTCCATCTATTCATAGACTTGATAGCTATACATCTTTAAACTTTTCTTTTGGTGGTTGTAAAGATCTCGGCATTACCTTGACTTACTTTAAATTTGTACACTTACCTAAAAATTTCAGATTTTTTCCTTAGATTCCTGGAAGTGGGACACTTGACCCATGGCATGAATATTTTAAGGTCTTTGGGACATATGCTCAATCTCTCTTCCAGAAGGGTTATGTCAATTAATATTCCCAGCTAAAAGAGTTCTTGCTTTATTGAGTCATCATTAGATAATCAGGTAACTGTGCCATTATTAGATAATTATTGCTTTAAAAATCTGTTTACTCGGTGAGAAAAAAAAGTAATTTACAACTCTTTGACTACTCCTGAGGTTGACTTTTTACTGTTTATTTATTAATCAAATAACTTTTTGCTTCTATGAATAGCTTATTTATATCCTTGGACATTTTTCAATTGGAATATTAGTGTTTTTCTTATCAGCTTACAAGAACTCATTTGAACTAGGAATAATTCTTTGTCAATTATTGAAAATGATTTTTCTTTGTTTAACGCTTACTTTCTAAGAATCTTCCTCACTAACCATCAGAGGAGGGGATGAAAAGAAAAAAAATATTCTGGCTGGAGCTCAAGACACAAGAACAGGCAGTGACTCAAGGATTTTGCTTCTCTTACAACTATCAAGTGTCTGTAAGAACTGATTACACAACATTTTTCCTCTAAGGTCCTCAAAGTTAAAAATAAAGAATGCAGTTCATGGCTTTTTAAGAGAGCTATTTCTGTTGCCAGTTTGCATAAGCACTCAGTGATCATCTTGTTCATCAAAGAAGTTGATAAGACCATTAAATATAGTTTATTAGCATGATATTCTCTATAGGAAAATAAATTATTTTCTGATGGACTTTATAATCCTTTGGCTTCAGTGTTAGATTGGGCAAGGGAGCAAGGTGAAACCATCTCAAAAATACGCACTAACCTTTATGAGCAGTGGAAAGAAGAAACAAGCTGTCCAGTGCACCTTGGTCACTGGGAAGGTAAGCCCAGAGGATGAGCATAGGGTTTGCTTCAGGCGAGATTGCAGGAACGGGGTGAAGGAAGTATGCTTAGTTATGTGTGCCCCAGGCAGGGATGAGTGGAGTACCAGCAAACCTACCTTGCTTTAGCTTTAGAAGAAAAATCTATTGTTCCAATGTTTTCAGTCTTAAATATAAAACTGGGGAAAAGGTTTCATTTATTTAAATAGTTAGACATAAAGCAGAAACCTTTACAAAAGTATGTGTAAAGTACAGCAATATATTTGAGCACATTTTTGAGACTGTCTTCATAGACAGAAAAGGTATTCGGGTTTGAAAAAGAAAATGAACATTAGCGAATGTGTCACAGACTCATCTACTTACCGTCATACTGCAGAAATCCATTTGTATCTGTCTCTATCTCAGACTCTGGCTGGTAAAGAGAACAAAGCACCCATCAAAACTGTGCAGTGCAGAAGAAATACAACTATAGAATGAAGAGGCGATAAACTTTTACTAAACGCTTTGGATGTGGAGAATAAATAAAATCAGAGCCGTACCAATAAGTAATGTCATCTAGTGGATAAGGGACATTACTGCATGGAGCCTACCTTCTCTACAAAAACTCTATCACTCAGCAAAGGCTTTTTGGATGTAATTTCATTAACTTTGCCACTAAAACTTTGTTGTGTTAAATGAATTATCTAAGATGTTTTTACAGATACCTTAAAGAAATCATCCTGAGATATGACACTGCAGTTTGGGAGGTGTTTCTGCAAATTCTTAGCCAGTGTTGTCTTCCCGCCATTTGTCACACTGAACAGAAAAAGGAAAAGAAAAAAAATTGAGCATACCAAGAAGGAAGATGCATTTAATATAAAACATTTTATTTATTTTTATTTTTTTATATTTTAAAAAGATTTTATTTGTCAGAGAGAGAGAGAGAGAGAGAGCGCACATGCGTGCATAAGCAGGGGGAGCCCCAGGCCAGAGGGAGAAGCAGGCTCTCCGCTGAGCAGGGAGCCTGACACAGGACTCGATCCCAGGACCCTGGGATCATGACCAGAGCTGAAGGCAGACGCTTAACCGACTGAGCCATCCAGGCGTCCCTAAAACATTTTAAAGTGATCTTAGAAAAAAGATATTTAAAACAATACGTAATACCTAAGAAGAAATTATTTCTTTCATAGCTATGTTGGTAAGTAAGTAGATCTACTTACTGTAACAGATGAGGAGAAATAAACTGGAAAGGATGGAGGAGAAAGGTCACTAAGTACCGGGCAAGTAAACTGGGTGATACGAAGTCTTAAAATTCCAGCTACTGTGTGGGAAGCAAAAGAATGTTTCGTCTATACTGAACCATTCCCAGGGCTCATGTGCAACACTGAGAATATGAGTAGCACGTTTTAGAGCAAGTCCCTACAGCTGCACGTGGTCACTGTGATTTTGTTTCAGTGTGCCATGGAGAAAAATGGAGGACTGGCTTATGACAAGCCACGTACCACGCATTCACATCTCCGCTGTGGTGCTCCCTTTCTCCTTAATCTTGCTCCACTTTGGGCCAAATGGGAGGCCCACTGAAGCTTGTCACAGGGAGTCAGTTACTTGTCCCTCCTGGCTGGCCCGTGACATCGGGGAGAACGGGGATCCCCTGTGTACCTAGTTTTCCAGCGTCTAGCACCACACATAGCACCAGAGAGGTGGGTCTGCAGTCAGTCATTCAGTCAGAGCTTTTTTTAACCCGGGGCTGCTGCCTCAGAGGGTCTGGGGACACATTTGTGGACTTTGCCAACTTGAATGGGAAAGAAATTACATCTTTATTTTTATTACATTCTAACAGAATTTTAGCTTTTCCTTTCATTATAAGGAAAAAACAGCAGTGGTATTAACAGTATGCATGGCTTTGTCACCACTAGAAATCATAGATATTTTCATATCACGGTGCAAGGGGGGCAGGTATCTTGGAGCATGATCGATATTCATTATTATTTCAAATTGATGGCAGTTTTTAGACCCACCCCTGGACACTGTTATTTAATAAGTTAACTATGTATATATCACAAAGCAACAATCTGTTTTTTAAAATAATTTTATAACTATATTTCAACATAACTGGTTTCCTTTATATTCCTGTATTTTATTTTATGCATTTAAAACCATTACTCTAGGGGTGCCTGGGTGGCTCAGTTGGTTAAGCGTCTGCCTTCGGCTCAGGTCATGATCCCAGGGTCCTGGGATCGAGCCCCACATCGGGCTCCCTGCTCAGCGGGAAGCCTGCTTCTCCCTCTGCCTGCCGCTCCCCCTGCTTGTGCACGTGCTCACTCTCTCTCTGTCGCTGACAAATAAACAAAATCTTTTTAAAAAAATACTAGAATTAGATGATTTCTGCTTGATCAATTAGTCTATTGGAAATATTTAGTAGCCAATATATGTTCATCAAATAATCAATCAATAATTCCAACCACCAGGGCGCCTGGGTGGCTCAGTCGTTAAGCATCTGCCTTCAGCTCAGGTCATGATCCCAGGGTCCTGGGATGGAGCCCCGCATCGGGCTCCTCGCTCTGCGGGAAGCCTGCTTCTCCCTCTCCCACTCCCCCTGCTTGTGTTCCTGCTGTCGCTCTCTCTCTGTCAAAGAAATAAATAAAATCTTAAAAAAATAAAATAAAACCATTACTCTAAATCAAGACTTCATCATACCACTGAATGTCCACGGCACAAAAAAACTCCTAACTGCACATTTATATGCAGGAACCTGTACTTAATCCCAGATGATACATTGCAATGTATTTATAATCTAGAAAAGAAACTAATATTCATTCATCAAAATTGTTTACTGGCTGTAAATTCAGTTATTACCTAAATACCTTATACCTACAAAGTACAAGGAACTTGATTCAAAACCTTTTTTCATTAATTTTTTTAAAGATTTTATTTATATATTTGAGAGAGAGAGAGAGTGAGCACAAGGTGGGGTTAAAGGCAGAGGAAGAGGGCGAAGAAGGCTCCTGCTGAGCAGGGAGCCCGATGAAGCCTTCAATCCCAGGACCCTGAGATCATGACCTGAGCTGAAGGTAGCCACTTAACTGACTGAGTCACCCAGGCGCCCCGTAAAGTTTTCTTCATTTAAACTTAGAATACACAATTGGATAGGATATGGGCGATCTCCTTGAAAAGACAGAAGTGCCTCGGTGACTCAGTCAGTTTAGCATCTGACTCTTGATTTTGGCTCAAGTCCTGATCTCAGGGTCCTGGGATCCAGCAGGCATGTCAACTCAGTGGGGAGTCCGCTTCCTCCTTCTCCCTCTCCTTTTGCCCCTCCCCCTGCTCAAGCTCTCTCTCTCTTCCCTGCCCCCTCAAATAAACAAATCTCTTTTTTTTTTTTTTTTTTTAAGAAAACACAGGGAAGTGGGTGGGTATTACCCTTTGTCTTGAGAAAATACTGGTATAAAATTTCTCCCTTTTAACAAGAATGTCTGTAATCCATACTGAGTTTCCACTGTTCAGATACTGAACTTTGGTTTAAAAGAGAGAGTAAACAGGGCTAACTTTTTGAGCAACCTGGCCAGAAAATGTGTCATTTTCTAGATTTACCTCTTGCAGATGATACAGTCAAACCAACTGTCTCACTGACTTAGCTGGAGACAATGAGAAGCAAGCACTCCAGTGTCACAGACTTGGAGGAGACAGACCAGACAGAAGGCAGTACAGGTCAGAGAGATGGGAGAGGGGTTTAACGAGAATTTAACAAGTCTGAGTGGCCCAAGTTCAAGCCTACGATCTATACTTGGAATCCTGGTCAGGTGACACCTTAAGACTAACTCTTCTCTTTCAGCATGCTCATAACCACCATGCACCACCAAGCTCATGACCACCCTCATGTGCCCTCCAACCTCAGGGCAAAGGTGCCCAGACCGGTGCACGCTTTATCTTAGGATATGGGGAAGGAAAATGAGTAACTACTTGGGGCCACTTCCTTCTTTGTTCACAACACCTGGAACAAATGCACAGTCCTGGTCCGTTTGTTTTTTTACGTGCCAAGAGACAGGAAGGGTGAGTGTATTTGGAATAGGACAGGGGGCTGAGGAGAAGTTAAAAAGGCTGTCTGCAGGCACTTAAGAGGCAAATCCATTCTGTAGCAGGTAGATATTAATATTATTTTATAGTTGAGGAAACTAAGGATTGAAAGACTATATACTCATAAAACTTGCCCAAGGTAACAACTAGCAAGTAATGAGGATGGGATACAAAGTCTAACTCCAAAGCCCATGGATCTTTTTTTTTTTCTTCCTCAAAGCCCATGAAACTTATATATTTTAACATCAACAGAATACTGTGAGAATCTGATAAAGATTATATGCCCCTTCCCCAGAAAAATGAACATCTTCACACATGCATTCCATTTTTTAGGAGGATCTTGAATGACCCTGGAATCCTTTGGAACCCCTGCTATTCCTTGACTTCTTAAGTGAATGATCACTTCCTAGTGTAGCAAGGGGTAAGTATACAAGGAAGATACAACACTGAGTCTGGAGGAAGGAAGAAAGGCAGGAACAGAGGTCACTGTGGCTGAGTGTGGTAGGTGCTTCCCAGAAGCAGCACTAAAATGAAATCCTGGCCCTCGCTGAGGAAGAGACAGTGAAGTAGAGTGTTTGGTGATACCACTGAGCTCCTGTATCAAACCTTCCCTGCAGCCTACATGGCCCTGAAGCTAGTACATTTCTTTTACTATTTATGGATGGTCTTCATATACTTGGATATTCAGCTTTTGTTCTAGATAACTGGTAACCCACTGCATATTGTTCACTAGGTGAGAGAATAAACATTTCTGCAAGAAGATTCAACTGGTGGAGAGGTACCTAGGAAAGGTTAAGAGGGGGAGGATGGAATTAGGGAATGAGGGCCTGATTTAGGAGGGTGGCAGTGAGTGCAGAAGGGAAAGCATGTCCAAGAAAAGCAATGCAGAGAAAAACAGAACTTTGGTTCTGGTTAGATGGGAGCAAGACGAGGCAGAGTTCTGACACTGGATTCATTCCTTTTTACCTCTAATTACTTGCTATAGTAACATAATACAACAATACAGTGATCTCCCCCAAGTTACAAAGGTTTAATTTTAACAGTCTCAAATATTTCATTCGTTGGACCACACCTAGTGTGAATGTACTCAGAAGAAAGATGAACACAACAAAGTAGCAAAACAAACAACAATCCTTTGGAGCTGTTGTTGGTTTCTTATTTGCATGCATACATCCGGTACTATGGGGAGGGTGACCCTATAATTTAGGACACTTTTGAGAGGGAGAGGGGCACGCAGCTAATAATTATGCCGGGGCAATCAGGACATCAGGATAACAAGGATAAAAGGTGTCTGGTGTCAACTCTGGGAAAGAAATGGTAAGGCAGGCAGGCAGGTTTTGCTTACTGATGGCCCTGTTTCTCCGTTTAGAGGAGACTCTCCCATCTCCTGTTGCCATTTATGTAGCTAGCACTCCCTCCCCTGCTTTATATTTGCCAGTGGCCTGCTCTCTTCCTCAGGACTCAGGAATCCTGACCCCTCCATCCCCCACCACAACCACAGGAAAACACCCTTTGGCCATCCTCAGTATCTCTACCAGCTTGTTGTAGCAAAATTACTCACCCACTGATTCCAATGACAAATGTTTTCATAATTAGCTTTGAAAATCCGTCTTCCTAAAATTTCCTAAAATTAAAAAAACAGAACAAAACAAATCGAATGCTTATCACTGAGATGTCTAGAGCAAGACAAAAAGACTAAAAGAAAGAGTCCTAAGTTAGGAGAGCCAGCTGAGGGGGAAAGATGACCATGATCTCTGGGGCATCTCCTACTCCTGGATTAGCCACGCTCAGTAGAAGGGCTTTACAAGGTACCAGCTTCTCTCTGCTAGACTCCATGGCTAAATCCAACAGCGGGTATGTGCTCAATAGGCCAAAGTCTCAGAGAACACACACTACAGAGTCTCAACTCTGAAACTCAAAAGAGTTTCAAGATACGATCACCTGGAGATGATCCACTTATTTCTCCAATGCCAGGGAACCCCACAGAGCTTGCCTCTCTCTCCTCCTGAAATGGGGAAAACATCACTGCCGGCCAGAGGCAAAAGGAAGTTAATTCCCCTTAAGGGTGCTATTTCCTCACTCAAAAACCTAAGTCCTGGGCCAGTGTAGACAAACTTTTTCCGAAAAGGGCCAGGTACTAAATATTTGAGGTTTTGTGGGCCCAGAGGCAAACTGAAAGTTATTATGTAGGTACTTATGTAACAAGAGAGAAAACAAAATTTCCACAATGTTCTTGAGGAAAGTCAAAACATTACAATTGAGTACAATTTTGTTGTTGTTGTTGTAATAGCCGTCTACTAATGAGAAGAATGGAATTCTTTTCTTACTGGGATAATATTTCTCTTACTGGATTTCAGGGTTAGTGTTCTCAATCAGAAAAGTGACTGCAAATGTTCAGGCTGAGGGCCAGGTTTTAGCCACAGGCCACTGTTTGCTGACCCCGGATCTGGGGGTGGGGTAGGGGGGTGGAGGGCAGTTTCACACAGGGCCCCCATAAGTTCAGTAAAGCAGTCCTATGGATATTCTAATGAACCATTTTCACCTCTTTATGGGAAAAGGTGAGGCTCAGCTGGAGGGAACCTCAGAACAGTGGTTCCTGAGGGTTGCCTGACCTAACGCTGCTCTTTATTCCAGACTGCTCTGGTTGGGTGATCAGGGACCTAAGCTGGGCCGCTGGGGTGAGTAGCTCCTGAGCTGGAGACCCCCAGAGGCCCTCCCAGTTCCTATCCCTGACCTGAGTCCTAGCAAGTTAATTTCTTTCTTCTTTCCAGCCTGTTAAAAAGCACTTTATTACCAAGAGCAAAGAAAGGATTCTGCACACGTGCTGGCTTAATTGTGAAGCTCTCATGTATAATGGATGCCATTTTTATTGATGTATTATTTTTTTTTTAAATATTTATTTATTTATTTGAGAGAGAGAATGAGAGACAGAGAGCACATGAGAGGGGGGAGGGTCAGAGGGAGAAGCAGACTCCCTGCCGAGCAGGGAGCCCGATGTGGGACTCGATCCCGGGACTCCAGGATCATGACCTGAGCCGAAGGCAGTCTTTTAACCAACTGAGCCACCCAGGCACCCTGATGTATTATTAATAGTTGAGCACACTGAATGGCAAGGACTAAGGGTCCCCCTGCTTCATGCCACATCTGTGCACACAGGGAGGATACTGTTTCAATTACATAGCATGCAAATAACGAGTGTGGTTGTGGCACTGGAAAGATGCTTGAGGGGGTTATTTGGGTGGAAACTAGCAATTCCGAAACGAAGAGTGAGAGAGAGTCAAGGACCTACTTATAAAATTGTTTGGGTTCAGGAGGGAATTCCCAGGTAAATCCAAGTTTTTACCAAAACAGGAACCCTCAGTTCTATATTAGTTAGTTAATAGAGCTATTACCCAAGACAGTGTTTGGGTAAATGTCGGGCACAGTCTCTTGGCCCTAAACGGGTGGCCATGTGGTGCGAGGGGTGGGGAACTGGGAGAAGCCAAAGCAAGACAGGTGCTGGGGTGAGGGTGGGCCTAGCAATCCCAGAAGTCATTTATTTCAAAAACCTCGTTGGATGCACAGAGCAGCACCAGGTGAACTCCAAATTCGGGACTGGAATTGTCTACCTCCATACCACTTTGTGCTATTACATCTCCTGTTGCCCTCTTAGAGAACTATTTTAAAATCACACTTAAAAAGCTTGCAACCAAGAGTTGCCAGACTCCAACTATATGCAGCAGACTCCATGAGGCAAAGACAAGCTTGATCAACTACAAACTCAATCACTGGATGTCTCCAGAGAGACAACCGTTTGGACTTTGTAGTCTCATCAATCCGGGGCGTCTGATTACTTGGAATATACACCACTGCCAATCTTGTGGGATATTTATGTACTTTATTCTCCCAATAAGTGCCAGGCGTTCCATTTGCATAGGGGGAGGAGAACTAAGATCGTCAAGGGCAAACCCCAAAATGAACATTTTTTTCTTTTTTTACCCTAAGTAAGATAGGTTGTCGAGTCCTTTTTTCATTACTTGTATGAGCTTATTATATGGATTCCACTACTAAGCAGGGTACATTTTGGACTCTAAACTAAAATAGTCAGAGGTGGTATGTGCAGAAATCAGCAGATTATAAGGAAGACAGCAACTTCTCTAATACAAATGGATGACAATATGCTAATGAACTGTTGTGCTTTAAAGAGCAATCTGGTATTTTTATACCAGTGAAATGTTTCAGGACTTCTCACTCATTTGCTTTATTCAACAGATATTTTGATTATCTTCTTCCACACACCAGGGAAGTCTTTTCCTACTATTGTTTAAACTTTGCTCTCTTTTAGTAAACAGAAATCTCCCACGGTTAGAATTTCTGAATACCTCAACCCATGCCCCTTTCCCGTGGAATCACTTTTATCTTTCACTGACCCCTAACAAAAACTTTCAAGCTTCATTTTAGATAGACTCTCATGCAAAGTTTTTTTTTTCAACGTTTCTTCCCTCAAACATACAGCTGGTCTATAACACGGTGCTATTTCGAACTGAATGCACGCTGCATTTCTTGTTTGCTCCCGCCCTCGCCTCGCCTTGGAGAATCAATCTGCTAGGTCGGGGGGTCGGCATTTTTCTGTGGAATGCCAGATAGTCAACGTTTTAGGCTTTTAGGGCAGCAGCTCAGCTCTGCTGTGAAGAGAAAAGCGGCCACAGGCAGTCCATAAGCAAACGAGCGTGGCTGTGCTCGAGCAAAACTTTATGGACCCCGACATTGGAATTTCTTAGCATTTCCACGTGCCACAAAAATCTTTTGGTATCTTTTCAACCACTTAAAATGGTAAAAGCCGTGCTCAGTTAGCAGGCCGTTCGTTCCATTAACAGTGGGCAGGCGGGTCGTTGGGTTAGGCCACCCTAATACGGGTGGAAGGAAACCTTGCCTCCTCCCGTGCGGATCAAGACCCGACCCCAACCCTGGTGACTTCTCTCCACAGCCCGCTCCATCTCTTGGAGGGAGTCTCCCATTTTAAGGATCGTTACGGGGACCATTAAAAGCACCACGCCGCGCCGTACACACACTCCTTGGCAGGCCACCTATCAGCCCGCTTAGGGTGGTACGAGTCCCCACAAGGCTCGCAAGACGCCACCGGGCTCAGGCTCCAGCGCAGCCACACATCGGGAGCACCTCCAGGCCTCCGCGAGGCTGCGCCGCGCGGCCGGGTCGCGCAGGTACTCACCGCGGCGTCAGTTCGAGCCCTCCCCAGCAAAGCGGCGGAAGCGCGGGCCGAACGCGCGCCCGTCGCTGACCCGCCGCAACCCCCGAAGCTTGCGGGCCTCGAGGCTCACAGCCCCTCCCTGCGCGCCCCCAGGGGGTCGGAGGCGGCCCAGGTAGAGGGCGCCGACCCAAGGGCCCGACCCACCCGGGCGGGACGCGGAGCGAGCGCCGGCCCCGGGGAGGGGCGGGGCGAGGCGGGGGGCGGGACGCCGGCGACCGTGGCCGCGCGCGCGCGCCCTCGCGGGGCCCGGCCCTTTCTCGTCGGGGGCGCGCGCGGCCGGGTCCGCCCCGGCGCGAGCCTGCTGCGCCCTCCCTCGGCCCCGGCTGGTTCCGCCGCCGCCGCCGCCCGCGCTCCAGCCGCTCCGAAGCGGCCCGCCCGGGAGCCAATTAGCGCTCGGCGAGACGGCGGCCACTTCCTCGTCGCCCGGGCGCGCGCTCGGGAGGCTCGGGCGGCCGCGCGGCGGGGCGGGGCTTTGCGCCGAGCCGGTCTGCCTGCGTCCGCTCGTCGGGCGGCCAAGGGTGGGCGCGGGTCCGCGGAGGCGCACCGCTGCGAAGCGGCCAAAAAGGAACTTTGGGGTCCCGGGAGTGCCGGCTGGCGGGGCGCTCGGTCGGCTTTTCGTGCGTGGTCTTGAGGCTCAGCCGCTCCAGGAAGCGCGATGTCGAAGCCGCCACCCAAACCGGTCAAACCAGGTAAGGGAGGCGCTCGCAGGGCTCCTCTGGCCGCCTTGGTGCCCTGCGCTTCCCCTGCCACTTGCAGGGCTGACCACGCACGTACCCGGCCTGGAGCTTCGCTTTCGGGAGCCGACCCGCCAGGATGGGTCGCTTTGTTGGTTCGCTGCAGGGAGGGATCGTTTTGGATAGCAAGAGGATTTCGAGGATTTTTTATTTTAAGGGGGAGTCGCCCTCGACTTTGCAATATTGTCGTTCGCTGCAACGTTCTAGTGGATGTGATAGCTACGTCCCATTGAGGCTTGGCTGGAAGACAGGGACACTGATCCCCTTAGGGGGGAAGATAGATATATGCTTTGAAATGGTCTTTCGGCTACTTCCTCTTTTTTTTTTTTTTTTTCCCCGTGTGTGTCAGTGTCAAGTTCAAGTTCTCGACCGGCCAGAGCGAACGGGAAGTGCGCTGTTTGCAGGGTGGGGTGGGTGAGCGAGTCTCCTATGGGACTTTGGAGAGGCGCCGCGTTTGAAATTACCCTCGGGATCTTGGGAAAAGGATTTGGGAAAACTGTACGCGCGCTCGCGGCGAGAAAAATCTAGGCTGCGGCAGAGTAATCTCGGCTCTTGCTCTTCGGGAGTGTCACTTTATCATTCAGTACAAGTCCTTTGCTTCCCCTTCCCCAGTGATTTTGCCGTGTTCAACTGGATTACTGAATCCCTCAAAGCGCTGTTCTTGGCCGATAGTCTGTTCATTTTTGATTCTATTCTTAGCATATTTTCTGTGATTGGGAGACACGAGAATGTAAAAGGGACTGACGTATTTCAATTCAGTACTGTAACAAACTCGTGCATTCATTGGTGAGTAATTACGGGAAACGTAGGAAGTGGAAGATAAATGGCTTTGATAACGCTCTGGGGCGTTTTCTTCCAATCTCCTGTAACTTCAGTATAGCACGAGCAGAAATGTATCCATTTACATCAAATTTCGAAGTAACCTTGGTTGCAGGCACTACACCTTTCATGATTACGTAGTTTTCTTTCTTTGCCATCATACAGTGGTGGTTTTAAATCATTTTATATGAAAATTATGTACATATATGTGACAGTCATTCACTGAGGACTTACATTTTTTGGGTGGGCTGGGTGTGAAGGAAGTTGCTGGGACGTTGGTTTTGCTGTGAGCAAAGATGGGGTGTGGCTAGTATTGGGTTCTGTGCTTCTTTATAAGTGGAATCTGATGAAGAGTTTGCATTTTAAGTGCACGTGTAGGAGGTAGCAGCTTTCTAAATTCAGATGTAAATCAGATCTCAAGCATCCAACAAAACAGAGTTGTTCTTTGCTGGCTAAACGAAGTCCTTTATTTTAAAGAATGTCCTGAGAAGTTAGTTATTCAAGAGGTTTTTCATCTCTCGAGACTTTAAGTGATGTCTGTGCTGCAGGTGGAGGAACATTGACTGCGGTGTGCAAGTGTGTACATGAGTACTCATGTATATACCAGTTTGGTTGAAGGATCATACTGTTACTAGTTGGGGATACGCTCCCAGAAACCATTTTCGTGGTTGGACACCGCTTTCTCCTTCTCTTCAGCAAATCAGAAAGCAAAGGGTTGAAAATATCTGCCATTTTAGGGACAGCTTTGACTCCACACTGATTTATAAATGAGATCCAAACTCAAGGTCAGCATAGAAATCGGCTTGTTAGTTTATGAATTTACAATGAGAAGTATTACTTTCTTTTTTTTTTTTTTAAAGATTTATTTATTCATTTGAGAGAGCGAGAATGAGAGAGTACATGAGAGGGGGCAGGGTTAGAGGGAGAAGCAGGCTCCTCGCCGAGCAGGGAGCCCGATGCGGGACTCCATCCTGGGACTCCAGGATCATGACCTGAGCTGAAGGCAGTTGCTTAACCAACTGAGCCACCCAGGCGCCCCGACAAGTATTACTTTCAATCCGACTTGAAACATTGGGTGGCCTGGCTTAATTGAAAAGAAAACTGTCGGGCGCCTGGGTGGCTCAGATGGTTAAGCGTCTGCCTTCGGCTCGGGTCATGATCCCGGGGTCCTGGGATCGAGTCCCGCATCGGGCTCCCTGCTAGGCGGGGAGCCTCCTTCTCCCTCTGCCTCTGCCTCTCTCTCTCTGACTCTCATGAATAAATAAAACATTAAAAAAAAAGAAAAGAAAAGAAAAAAAAGAAAACAAAACTGTCCTATTATAGTACTGGTCCACATTTACTGTGTGCCGGGCACTGATATAATCACTTTACATGTATTAACTCATTTGCTCCTCACAACAACCCTGTGAGGTTAGTACCATTATTGTTCCCATTGCACGGGTTGGGAAATTAAGGCAAGGCACAGAAAGGTAGGGAGGAGCAGGTAGGAGTAGCACCCAGGTAGTCTGATTTAAGAATCTGCGTTCTTACTCATAATGCTATTCTGCCTTACATCACCGTGCACCATTCACGTGCGTGGTCTTGTGTATTTTAGAGCTGGGGGGTGGAAGTGGAAAGGAAAGTGCCTCTTGTCCTCCGTCAGATCTTCCACTCACAGATGCACATAAAGGTCACCCCCTGGTTGGTAGCAGTGAGGGGAGTGAGCTTTACTTTTTTGTCCTGCAGGCAGGATTCATGGGTGAAAAATGTCTGAAGCAGCTTGGAATTGGGGCTTGCGGGTTGTATTTAACTTTTGGTTTCTTGGTTTGTTTATACAGGGCCTCATCCCAGATGACAGTTAAGGAAGGAAGGAAGGAAGGAAAGAAGGAAAGGGAAGGAAGGGAAAGAGCCATATAGAGGGAGGGAAGAATAAGAATAAGAGGAAACCAGAGGAAAGGACACGTGTGTCCTAAGGTCCGCCCAAGTTTCTAAAGGGTGGCTATAGATTTGACTCTCGGCTTCCAGCATAAAGGTAAAAAAGATCAATTATAAGATTCCTACTGTTCATAAAAATAAAATGTGTTACTTTCTCAGAGAAGAGTTTTTAATGGCACTGAGATCTGAAATAAACTTCGCATGGGTTCTCTCAAAGTGTTGGAGTGGACTGCACATCTCTGTAAGAAACACAAGCGGGACATCATAGTGGTGGTCCCTATAGCTTCGTGCAGAGCAAGACCCCGGCAAGACAGCATCGTTCAATTCCATAGGAGTGCTGAAGGGAAGGAAGCTAGGCGAGGGAGGACAAAGGACTTAATGGAAAATTTGAGTAGCAAGGGACATTAAGCTATAATGTGGGTAATGTATCTATTGGGATGATTGGCATATATCCCATAAAAAGACTGTTTGCTCTTGCACCTTCCTGAGGTTATACCAGACTTTGGGTTTGTAGCCACATCCAGAAATCATTTGCTAAACATTTCTTAATATATGCAGCTAATTATTTTAGGCCTTGTGGTAGACATTGGGGTTCCCAGGCGCAATACAATAAGGTCTCGTCCATGAAAGTATCGAGTCTGATGAGGGAGATTTAGATATCTATAGATAATATCTTAAATTGACCCGTATCTGTAGTTGGATGCTGATCTTACCCATTTTGTAAGGAAAAACCTCGTAATTAAAAATAAAAGTAGTATATTTTCCTTCTTTCTTCCTTTCTTCTCCAAACCTCGTAGTATATTTTTTATTATAGGAAATTTAGAAAATACATACAGAAAAAATATATAAAAATATACATATCATCCCTACCTATCTACTGATAATCACTGTTTTCTCTCAGGTGTCATTTTTCTTTGTCAAATCCATTTCATTAAAAAAAGAAAATACTAACAATTATCCTCAGAATGGTGTCTCAGTTTCAATTTTAAGTGTTTTGCTGTTGATTGGCTTGTTTCCTACCGTGGGTACACTGTTGCCTACGCTCTGCTTGAAAAATCACTTGTCACATTTTGACCTTTCCTTGCTTACTGATATCTTTTTATAGGGTCACTTTTGGCCACTCTATGTCTGTCATTGAAACTCTCCCCTCTCATTGTTAGATGTGCCACCAAGGTGCTCAGTCTGCTAAAAAGTGTCACGTTTCATGGTCTTCAGCTCATTCTTCAGGGGACCCTCCTACTTCTTCGGGACGGATGCGGCCTCTCTGGTTCTTGTCAGCCACCCTCCCGAGCCTTGTAGTTCAATTAGGGTGAACTTGCTGAGCTTGTCAGAGTGTAGATGACAACTTGTGTTCTCACAAAAACTTTGTTTTAGAGGAGACTTTATTCTGAGACTTTATTCTGTGAAGATGGGCCAAAGGATATTGAGTGAGATTTGGACTAGAATCATCTCATTCTAAGCCGGTTTGATAACCCTCCACTGTAGTTGGAAGCCTGATGTCTGACCTTGACCAGTTCTTTCAAGCGGCTTATTGATTTTGGTGGTGGAAGTAAAGCAGCCTAAATATTTTATGTGTCTTAGGAAAATAAATTCATGGGACTTTGAAGAAGCAAATGTCAGTATTTTGGGTTCTTTTGTATTTACAGTAAAAACATCATAAACTTCAAAGATGTCACCCATATGCTGCTTATATAACATTGATGAGAGGAAAAAAGGCTTC